AATCAATCAAGTGAGACTATATACCGCTAAAAGATTGTGTTCTAAACTGGCCCGTTTTACAGCGGATAAACTTTTTACAGAGACTGTCGCGCGACAACCACCTTAAGGTAAACGTTGTCGTGGAAAATATTTGCTTGACAGTTTTTAGACGAATTTTTATGGTGAATAGTTTAAAAGAGTCATTGCTAAATGTTTATATTTCTGTTTGAAATTGTCAATAATTTCTGTTTGAAATTGTACATTTTAAACTTGAGATTGAATTTTTTTAACTTTCCACGCGTTTAAATTGAACGTCATGAACTAGAATTTTTAAAAAATCAAGGCTTGAGAGTTTTTCGAATGAAAATTGTCTGGGGGAGTAGCCGCATCATTGAATACAGCGAAAAAAATTAATTACTAATTAATTTATTTAATTTTCCCTCTAATTACTGTGATATAATTCCCAAATTTTGAGAAATATCTTTCGGATTTCTTTAGTGAGCGTGAGTTTTTTATTTCGGATGCATTTTGCATTTACTGATTGTGAAACTGCAACTACTACAGAGGGAAATGGTCGGAGCGATTATGTATTGCTTAATTTAAAAATTTAGTGAAGGTTCATGAAAATTCCAATCCGTTATCACTTTTTATGCTTTTGTGAATATCAAGACTTCGTCCATACGAAGGGAAAGATATTCTCACTTTAAGGCTCGGGTGGATTATCTAGAAAAGATAATTTACTCCGAAATTCGGATTCCTAATTACTTTGGCAATTAATAGTTTTTTTCAATAATTGTTAGCTAGCGTTCTAGCGGGTGTCAACAATTAAGCCGCTAGCTAACAATTATCGGAAAAAACTATTAATTGACGGAGTAATTAGAAGTCCCAATTTTGGAGTAAATTATCTTTTCCGGACAGTCCATCCGGGCCTTAAAGTTCTTCTGAAGATCCCTCTTCTTCTAGTTCTGAGAGTTCTAAGAAACTGGTCAAATAAATTCTAAAAACCATTTTCAGATAAAAAATTGACAGCACTTTCACCCCTTTTTCAATTAAAAGTCTTTAATTCCTTCATTCGAATTTATATATACCACATAAATAATACTAAATAATACTGATCAATAATATATTACATATTATTTATTTTGTGAATGAAATATCTTGAATCTCCGGGGCATTATATTTTTGGGCGTTAAACTATTTCCCAAGAATCTATGAAAAAATAAAAAATAGAAGAATGCCAGCGGAATAATAATAATTTAAACATTTAAATTTACAGGATGCAGGTCAGCTTGAATTACTGCTGCTTAACAGAGCATTGATGGAGCATTCAGAGTTATAAGAAAAAATTTTTCAATATTTTTAGTAATATAAATTTTTATGGATCAACTCGCGTAACAGTAGCAATTGATTGTGCAATGCAGGAAGTATAGAAAAATGGAGATTCTGTTTAAGGTATTTTTTATGCCTTTATCAGCTGCTCATTGTCGAGGACAAACTTTTGTAAATTTTCTATGATTTTATGCGCCTATAATCATCATCTGGGAGCACATACAAAAAAAAGTAGGACCACAGAACGGTGTAAGAAGTAACTCGATTTTTTCGCCATTTTGACGACCTCTTTTGTCCGCCATTTTGTCGGGCATTTTTTTCCGATCCAGGTCGGCCATTTTTATGTCGATTCTTATATCCTTGGAGAACATCTGGAAATATGCAACTCGGAATTCTAGGATAGCATCACAGAAAGATAACAGAAGTAACCAGATTTTTTCCGCCATTTTGTCGGTGAATTTTGTCCTCCATTTTGATTCTTCGAATGATGATTGGAATATATTTGGAAATCTCTAGCCATCCGGAGTTGTAGAACAGGATCACAGAACGATTAAGGAGTGAATTGATTTTTTTCCGCCATTTTGTCAGCCTATTTTTCCGCCATTTTGATTCTCAGATTCGTGGATCGCATTCGAAAATGTCACACGAATTGGCATTATAAAACAGGCTCATAGAAGAATAGTGACTTAACCAGATTTTCTTCGCCATTTTGCTAGTCGCCTTCCTACGAATCAAAATGGCGGAAATAATAAGCTAACTCTTCAATTCCTCTGTAATGCTGTTTATAGAAACGTACAGCTCATCTCGTCAAAATTTTAATCAAACGGCAGCTGTAGTACCCGATGCTTGCGGCCATTTTGTCAACCGCCTTGTACCAATCAAAATGGCGGCGAAGTCAGATAACCTCTCACGTCTTCCGTGAACAAAACTATTTTGTTGTTCCCAATCCACTCAACAACAAATGCGCAATAAGTCCTCCCCTCCAAGAAAATTCCATAATAAACGAATATATATAAAAAAAAACCCTCCAATAATTAACAACAAATAAAGAGGACTTCGACACCAGAAACCAAAAAAATACCAAAAAAAACAGCAAAAAAAATTCAGTTCCAACTTTCAACAAGGAAAAACATTCTCCCTAAAAATATATAATTAAATTACCAATAATTTTTTAACAGAGGGCAACAAATAATTTTTCAACCACCACCAAAAAAATTGAATGTAAAACTAAAGAAGACGCAAAAAAAAACAAAATAAATCGAAAGTCAAAGTATTGAAGAATTTGTAATAACATATATTCTGTATAACATGATACTTGTATAAGTATATATTCATATACGGGTTATGTATATATGTATATATAATAATAACCATAATAATAATAAAATATAATGTTTAATGTTAATCAATATATATCTACCGATTAATGTTCATTGTGACGTTAGTGATTTATTTGTTCTCTTTAATTTTTTATTTCATTTGTATATCCTGTATATTTTCCATCTTCGGTGCAGTAAATATCGTCTCGTCGTGCCCTTAATCATTGATTGATCAATGATAAGATATAAAATTACTCATCATTTATACCTAGCTTTTTTTTATATTTTTTCTATTATAAAAAAATGTCCAGTTCGAGTGGT